GTCCTTCCCACGGCACTCTCTAATTCTCTTCTGGGTTTGAGAATCCATTGCAATGGCCACATCGAACTCAGAACATATTTACAGGTGTTTTTGTTGTTGTTGTTGTTGTTGTTGTTTTTTACAGTGGTTTATTAAAGAATAGGGTATAATTTGGCATCAGGATCAGGAGTCGTCCTTCTTCAGTGCACAGCAGCTCTCTCAGCTCCTCTCGGCCTTGTAGACCTCCTCTCAGCCCCCTGATGATAGGCTTCCCTTTAACTGGCGCCCTCAGGACAGACTCCTCTCAACCTGCTGGGACAAGTTCCTCTAGGCCCTACTGTCTGTCACCATCAACTCTACTGTAGGGCCCCTTCTGGCCTGTTTCTGCTGCCTCTGCGGCTGGATCCCCTCTGGACCTTTCACTGTCTTCAGTGTTACCAACATTGACCCACGAGCTACAGCTCTGTTAGGCAATTCTTGGCCTCCGTTCTCGCTCTCTCCGCTTCTTCTCTCTTCTTTCTTCCTGTTGCTTCTCGTCCAGCTTTTTTCTGACTGTGAAGCCTCCGGGAGATTGGTTGCTTTATATACAAATTCCTTGTCACTTTCAAGGCATGGCCCTCCCACCAGGGCCATGAATTTACTAATCCTTCCTCAGTAGGTGATAGGTGCTTCATTTGCATAGTCTATTGACCAATCCCTGCAAGGTTCATACCAATCACAGGCAGACTGCAGCCCAGGACCAGACAAAAAGTATCAAGCCAAATTGCTGACAGTTTACCCAGGAAATGTCAACCAATCTGGACAAAAGGAACAAATCTTCAGGAGGTAGAAAGCTAGGGCAGAGGTAACCCCTTAGGGCTTAGGTATAAAACCTCTCAAACTGCTTTTCCAAAGAACCAAGGCAAAAAGCCACACAAACTCATTCCACCACAGCATCTGAGTTTGATTTTCTGAAAACTGGGAACGATGGAACTGCCTTGAGGATTTAATGAAGTCAGATGTGAAAGGATTTGGGATGTAATGAGTATTAACATGGAAGAATAAAGGTAGTATAAGAGTAGATAAAGAAACTCAGAAAAATGAGAGACAGTGCGGTCAGAGACAAGGAGGACGTTGAAGAATGGACAATGATGGGGCAGCAAGGAAGAGTATGCACAACAGACCCATAAAAAGAATAGTCATTCTGTGGTGTACTTCTCTTATTTAATCAAACAATTATCTTTAAGTATTATCTTATTTAATTAAACTAAAAGGCAGGTTATCTATCCCACACCACTAGTTAGTAACAGGAAGAGTATTTGAAGCCAGATCTACTTTTATGGAGTTTAGGCCCCGTCTCCATAAAACTCTTCAGAACAGGGTTTACCAGTGTCCTCTCTCTACTTCCTCCTTCCTGTTCGGTGGTCTGCTTTCTTTTTCTTCTCCTGTCTTTGTTTTAATCACAGGGCATGATCACTGTCACAAATGCACTTACCAAAAGTTTCCAGTACGAGAATCTCTTCATCTTGGTTCTAGACATTTCTTTCCCTCCCATTTTGATCTCTAGTCTCTAGTTTGCATCCCTCAGGAAAGGCCAAAGGGGTATTTTAAGTTGTTATTGTAAAGTGCCATCAAGTCAGTTCCGACCCATAGCGACCCTGTATAGTGTTTCCGAGGAGCAGTTGGTGAGCTTGAACTGCCGATCTTGCAGTTCAAATGGCTTTGCAATCTGGTGCATTAACCCAGAGCACCACAAATATACAGGGTCACTATGAGTCAGAACCAACTCGACTGCTGGCATTTAACAACAACAACAAGGAATATAAAAGAGAACATTTTAAATGTCAAATTTTGCAAATTATTTTATTATCTAAATGCTAAAGAAAAAATCAGGCTGGTTTTCAATTTAGGGAGAACAAAGTGAGTGATTTAAAGGAGACTAGTTACATTTCCATCCCAATCCATTTCCATTGTTGTGTCTCACTCAAGTCCCTTTTCATACATTTCAAGCTATCTCACTTCCTTTTTATCAATGACATCTTCAACTGTTTGAATCAAAAGTTCAACAGGTGATGGGAGGAGTGATTATCCAGACACACAGGTCTTAGAAACAGGTCAGATGAGGCCTGAGTGTGAGGCCCTCTCTTGTACTCATGCACATTTCAGGTTCGTTAATCTTTGTGTCTTCTCTTAGGGTTCTTCTGTTTAAAATATTCTCTCCAAGAAGTGGGTGCACCAAACATTTTTCTTATGTAATGCCAGAAATCAGAGTCTAGAATATCCAAAATGAATAGTTATTAGTAGAAAAAAAAAAAGCCAAAACATTGAAGAATCCTCCTACTATCTACTGAGAGTAAAAGTAATCATCCTAAAGAATGACTCTCAGGATGCAGGGCCACAATGGACATACATACAAATTGCAACAAGGAGCACTTTGTCTAGCAGGTGGGTTTCTGGAATATCTGGGCTCCCTCCTGAAGGTAAATTGGAGTAACCCCCTATTGGAAAGAGCATTTGAGATATGGCATTTGAGTTTGTTGATTCCCGTTGTACAAATAGTATAAAATTATAATGAAAGAAAGCAGGTGATGCAAATATATCCATGAATGTGGTGAAGCATTACTGTTGTTGTTATGTGTCGTTGAGTCAGTTCCAACATATAGTGAGTGACACGATGTAGGGTTTCCTAGGAGTGGCTAGTGGGTTTGAGTAGGGGGCAAAATTATAAATACTTAGACATTACCAAAAGGAGCTCTGGTAGCGTAGTGGGTATGAATCGGGCTGCAAACCTTAAGGTCAGCAGTTCGAAACTACCAGACACTCCACAGGAGAAGGATGAGGCTTTCTGTTTCCATAAAAATTTATAGCCTCGGAAACCCTGTACAGGGTTGCTATAGGTCGGAACCGACTCGACAGCGCTTAACAACAACAACAACACCAAGACATTACCAAACTGCTTGAGGGGATGAGGTGCTGGGCCTGGAGCTTCAAGACCATAGTCTCAAGGGACACCATGGTCAATTGGCATAGCATAGCCCACAAAGATAATGTTCTACATCCTACTTTGGTGAGTGGTGACTAGGATCTTAAAAGCTCATGAGCAGCCATCGAAGGTACAACTATTGGTCTCTCCCTATGCAGAAGAAAGAAAGGTGATGAAAATTGAAGGTGCTTGGAAACAATTAGTTCACAACCCTGAAAACAGAATTCGATATTAACCAGCTACCACTACCAACTGTTCTGAAAGGGATTATTATATTAGAAGGTCCCAGATAGAGTGGGAGAACAATGCAGACCAAAACTCAAAATTATTTAAAAGACCAAGCTTACTGATCAGAAAAAGATTGTAGAAACCCCAAACAATGGCCCTTGGTCACCCTTCTGGTCTGAAACTGAACTCACCTCGTGGGTCAATTATCAGCCAAGCAGTAGATAGGTATATAGGGGAACAACAACACTAGTGAGCTATGCACACCGTGGAATGGTCAACCATTCAAGATCAAAAGGGTTGGGAAAGAAAGAGGAAGGGAAACAAGAATCACAGGAAGGAAGGGGGTGTTGTTACATTGAGTGGCTAGCAGTCATTGAAATAAAATGAAGTACACCATTTGTTGACTGTAAAACTGATGATCTACATTGTAAACCTTCACTCAATTCACAATAAAAAAAGTTAAAAGAAAGAAACAAAAGAAAGCAGGTGAACATATGAAAAGTAAAAACAAGAGCACAGACCAATAGGGATAGATTTTCTTTGGCTTCTAGCACTTGGACCTATCTAAGACAGCATGACCCTTTAGAAAAAGGGATTACTGTTATTAATATTTTATATAACGTGGTGGTGGTGGTGAGTATGTGCCTGCCCTGGAGTCCACTGTGACTCATAGCAATCTTGTATAGGGTTTCCCAGGCTGTAAATCTTTAGAAGCAGAAAGCCTCATCTTTCTCCCACAGAACGCCTGGTAGTTTCAAACTGTTGACCATGAGGTTAACAGCCCGATTCGTAACCACTACGCTACCAGAGCTCATTTTTATATAACATAGTATGGAAAAACGATAACTAATCCGTCGTGATTTTTTTCTTTATCAATACTGTATTAGTAGAACAAATTTAAATAAGGGAAAACAATAAATGAACCAGAATGAAGAGATGGGGAGAAAATCATAATTGGACTTTTTGCTGAAGTACATTTCAGTTTTGAAGGATACATCTAAACCTGGGGTAATAGTAAGTGGACAATAGTGATTGAAATTGTTGTTGTTAAGGGCCGTTGAGTCGGTTCCGACTCATAGCAACCCGTATAGCATTTCCAAGGAGTGGCTAGTGCCCTTGTGGTTCAAACTGACCATGCAGTCCAGTGAAAATGGATTCTATTTTATTAAAAGATGTAAACATATGAGAAATTGCTAATAGAGATATATTTTAAAGACGATGAATGAATTTAGGGAATGTGTCCAATTCACCACAACTCTACGGAAAAGCAGACAAAATAAGGATGGAAAGACTGCTGAATATTTGCTTCCATACAACCACAAAAATGAGGGGAGCCAAGAACACAGCTCAAAACTGACCCAATGGAGTACAGGCTGATCTTCTCTTGCCTAATTCCAGTAGCCTAGTATCTATGGTGGATATCTGTTTGTGATACAAACCAAGGTAAAGCTATGAGAGAGCTAATTTGCATTGAGTTTAACAAGGTTACCTTGCGTATACACACTTATGACAACTTCTGAATGCTGCTGACATGTTGCTTCTCTAACTGTCTCGGGCCAAGACCAGGTAGATAATAAATCATGGAGTTGTCTATCTATTCCTAACTGTTTTCTTTGTCCTTTTCACTGGTCTCCCTGCCTGAACTGGAAAAATAAGTCACCCCCCTTGGCCCCAAGCCCTGTGCAAGTTGATCTATCTGAGTCTCCTGCTGCTCCAATGGCGTTCCTTTCCTTACTATTGCCAGAAGAAACAAATCCACCCAGAGAAGGGAGGAAAGCACAAAACCAACAAATTGCAAAAAAAAAAAAAAAAAGAGGAATAAAACTTGCTCTCACTTACAATCACTAGAAGGATGAGACTTGAAGTTAGCTTCCACCACCCTACGGTTCAAGGGTTGGATCATGCGGTAATCATTGCGGAGCGTCTCATTCTGGTGATTAAACAAGCGGTTCTCTAAAGTCCAAATCTGCAGACAAAAAATAAATAAATTGTAGAGGGAAAGAAGCACTGTGCAGTTTAAGAATTCACAAACCCCGATAAACCCGTTGTGAGAAGATTTCAAGCCTGTTGTTCTTGCTGCTTGGTGCCATCGAGTTGACTTCAACTTATTGCAACCATATGCACAACAGAGCAAAACACTGCCCGGTCCTGCGCCATCCTCACGATCGTTACCCTTGAGTCCATTGCCACTGCTGCTGTGTCAATCCATCTCTTTGAGGGTGTTTCTCTGTTTCGCTGACCCTACACTTTACCAAGCATGATGTCCTCCAGGAACTTGTCCCTCCTGATAATATGGCCAAGGTCTGCAAGATGAATTCTCACCATCTTGGCTTCTGAGAGCATTCTGACTTTACTTCTTCCAACACAGATTAGTTTGTTGTTCTGCCAGTTCATGGTACTTTTAATAGTCTTCTCCAATACAATCATTCAAATGCATCCGTTTTTTGGCAGTCTTCATTATTCATTGTCCAACTTTCACATGCATATGAGGATATTGACAATGCCTTGTTGTTGCTGTTGTTAGGTGTTGTCAATTATGTGAGCTGTTAGGTGAGTCAACTCTGATACTGCCCGGTCCTGCACCCTTCTCACAATCTTTGCTAAGCTGGAGCCCATTGTTGTTGCCATTGTGCCACACCATCTCACTGGGAGGGAGAGGTCTTCTTCTATTTTGCTGACCTTCCACTTTGTCTAGCATGATATCCTTCTCCAGGGATTGGTCTCTCTTGACAATATGTCTGAAGTATGAGAGATGAAGTCTCTGCATCCTGACTTCCAAGGAGCATTCTGGTTGTGCTTCTCCCTACACAGATTTATTTGTTCTTCTATCAGTCCAGGAAACATTTAATATTCTTCTATAACACCAAAACTGAAATGCATCAATTCTTCTACAGCCTTCTTTACTCACTGTACAACTTTCACATACATATGAGGTTATTGAAAATACCTTGGCTTGGGTCAGATGCACATTAGTCCTCAAACTGATATCTTTGCTCTTGAACACTTTAAAGAGGTCTCGTACAGCAGATTTGCCCAATGCAATACGTCATTTGATTTCTTGACTGCTGCTTCCATGACAGTTGATGGTGGATCCAATTAAAATGAAGTCTTTGATAACATCAATCTTTTCTCCATTGATAATGATGTTATTTATTGGCCCAGTTGTGAGGGTTTTTATTTTCTTTACCTTGAGGCGCAAACCATACTGAAGGCTGTGATCTTTGATCTTCATCAGTAAGTGTTTTAAGTCCTCTTCTTTTTTAGCAAGCAAGGTATTATCATCTGTACATCTTTCCTGATTTTAAACCATTCAGTGTCCCTTTGTTCTGTTTGAATGACTGTTTTTTTGGTCTATGTACAAGTTCCTCAGGAGCACAATTAAATGTTCCTGAATACTCATTTGCCACAATGTGGTCCACAGCTTGTCATGATCCACACAGTCAATAGTACAGGTAAACATCTTTCTGTTATTTTCTACTTTCAGCCTATCTAATGTCAGCAGTTCTAGTTCTATTCAACCTGTATGCTGAGCAAATAATCTGAGAAGCTGGGTTTTATGAAGAAAAACGTGGCATCAGGATTGGAGGAAGACTCATTAACAACCTGTGATATGCAGATGATACAACCTTGATTGCTGAAAGTGAAGAGGACTTGAAACATTTACTGATGAAGATCAAAGAACACAGCCTTTGGTATGGGTTGCATCTCAATGTCAGGAAAGCAAAAATCCTCACCACTGGACTAATAAACAACATTCTTATCAACGGCGAAAAGATTCAAGTTGTCAAGGACTTCATTTTTCTTGGATCAACTGTCAACATTCATGGAAGCAGCAGTCAAGAGATCAGATGACGTATTGCATTGGGCAAATCTGCTGCACAGGAACTTTTCAAAGTGTTGAAGAGCAGAGATGTCAGCTTAAGGACTAAGGTGCGTCTGACCCAAGCCATGGTATTTTCAATAACCTCATATGGATGTGAAAGCTGGACAGTGAATAAGAAAGATCGTAGAAGAATTGATGCCTTTGAGTTGTGGTGTTGGAGGAGAATAATACTGAAAGTGCCATGGACTGCCAAAAAAACCTACAGATCTATTTTGGAAGAAGTGCAGCCAGAGTGCTCCTTGGAGGTCAGGATGGCTAAGCTTCGTCTCTCATACTTCGTCTCTCATACATATTGTCAGGAGAGAACAGTCACTGGAGAAGGATGTCATGCTGGATAAAATGGAGGGTCAGAGAAAAAGAGGAAGACCCCCAATGAGATGGATCAGCCAGGTGGCATCACTGATGGTGTCAAGTGTGACAGCGGTAGTGAGGTTGGCCCAGGATTGGACATTGTTTCATTCTGCTGTGCATGGGGTCGCTATGAGTCAGTTCTGACTCGATGGCACCTGACGACAACAACGTCAGCAGTGATATCCCTCATTCCACCTCCTCATCTGAATCTGCTGGAACCTCTGGCAGTCCCCTGTCAATGTAATGTTGCAGCTGTTTTAGAATTATCTTGAGCAAAATCTTACTTGCATGTGATATTAATGATATTGTCTGGTGATTTCCACATTCCATTGAATCACCTCTCTTTGGAAAAAGCACAAATATGGATTTCTTCCAATCAGTTGTCCAGGTAGCTGTCTTCCAAATTTCTTGTCATAGTTGAATGAGTGCCTCCAGAGCTGCATCAATTTGTTGAAAGATATCTATTTGTATTCCATCAGTTCCCAAAATCTTGTTCTTTGCTAAAGCCTGCAGTGCATCTTGGACTTCTTCCCTCATTACCATTGGCTCTTGAACATATGCTGCCTCTTCAAATAGGTGAGTACCGACCATTTCATTTTGATAGTGACTCTGTATATTCCTCCCATCTTCATTTGATGCTTTTTGCATCATTCAATATTTTGCCCAAAGAATCCTTCAGTATTTCAAGTCGAGGCTTGAGTTTTTATATCAGTTCTTTCAACTTGAGAAATGCTGAGTGTGTTCTTCACTTTTGCTTTTCTAACTCCATATCTTTGTACATTTTATTATAATATTTGACTTAATTTTCTTGAGCTGCTCTTTTACCTCATTTCTTCATTTGATTTAGTATTTTGATTTAGCATCTTTACACTGGAAAGCAAGTTCCAAAGTCTCTTCTGGCATCCATTTTGGTCTTTTCTTTCTTTCTTATCCTCTTAATGACCTTTTGCTTTCTTCCTGTATGGTGTTCTTATTGTCATCCCACAACTCTTCTGGTCTTCGATCATTAGTATCTAATGTATCAAATCTGTTCTTGAGATGATCTCTTACTCTGGTGAGATATGTTCAAGGTCATATTTTGGTTCTCACAGATTTGTTTAAATTTTCTTCAGCTTGAGCCTGAACTTGCATATGAGCAATTGATAGTTTCACAGTCTTCTCCTGGCCTTTTTTGGCTGATCATATGGAGGTTTTCCACCATCTCTTTCCATGTTGCTGTTGTTGTTATTATGTGCCGTGGAGTCAGTTCCGACTCATAGTGACCCTGTACAGGGTTTCCAATGCTGTAAATCTTTATGGGAGCAGAAAGCCTCATCTTTCTCCCGTGGAACAGCTGGTAGTTTTGAACTGCTGACCCTGAGGTTAGCAGCCCGATTCGTAACCACTACACTACCAGGGCTCCTTGTCTCTTTCCCTAGATATGGTCAATTTGATTTCTGTGTATTCCATCTGGTGAGGTCCATGTGTATAATCGTCTTTTATGTTGTTGAAAAAATGTATTTGCAATGAAGAAGTCATTGGTCTTGTAAAATTCTTTCATGTGATCTCCAGCATCATTTCTATCACCAAAGACATATTTTCCAACTACTGATGCTTCCTCTTCGTTTCCAACCTTTGCATTCCAATCACCAATAATCATAATACATCTTGATTGCATGTTTGATCAATTTCAGACTGAAGTTGGTAGAATTTTTAAATTTCATCATCACTGGCTTTAGTAGTTGGTGTGTAAATTTGAATAATAGTGGTATTAACTGGTCTACCCTGTAGGCTATAGATATTATCCTGTCACGGACAGCATTATACTTCAAGATCGATCTTGATGTGTTCTTTGTGATGATAAATGTGACGCCATTCCTCTTCAATTTGTCGGTTCCAGCATAGTAAATCATATGATTGTTAGATTCAAAAGGGCCAATACCAGTTCATTTCAGCTCTCTAATGCTTAGACTATCAATAGTTTAGTGTTCCATTTCATTTTTGACAACTTCCAATTTTCCTAGAATCTTACTTTGTACATTCCATATTTCAGTTATTAATGGATATTTGCAGCTATTTCTACTTCTTTTGAGTTGTGCCCCATCAGTCACTGAATGTTCCAAAAGCTTTACTCCATTTGCATTACATGTTCAACTCTATTTTGAGGAGGCAGCTCTTCCCCAGTCATATTTTGAATGTCTTCCATCCTGAGATGCTAATCTTCTGGCACTATATCTAACAATATTCTGGTATTATTCATCATGTTTCAATACTCAATATTCAGGTGATATCTGACAGCGTTTCACTTCTATTCATAAAGTTTTCAGTGGCTAAATATTTGGAAGTAGTCTGCCCCTCCTTCATATGAGTCTCTCTTAGTCTGGAAGCTCAGGTGAAATCTGTCTACCATGAGTCACCTTGCTGGTATTCAAAATACCAGTGGCATAGCTTCCAGGATCACAGTAATACTCAAGCGAGCACAGTACAACAAACTGACAGACAGATGATAGATTGAAAATGCCTAAAGGTATTATTTCCAAAGCTCATCCTATTGTTTTTTCTCCTAAGTATTTGTAAATAATCTCTTAAATAAATAATAGAAATATATAAAGTAGTAAACGTCAATTGTTGTTGTTCTGAAAATGTCTATATTTTTTCTAAGTTCTTGACAGATATTTTTCTAGCCTATTCAATTCTGGGCTAGTTATTAATTTCTCTCAGCACTTTGAAAATATGATTCCATTGTCTTCTGAATTTCATTGCTGCTGTATCAAGTCAACTCTCAGTCTAATTATACTTCTTCTGTAAGAATGTGTCATTTCTCTTTGGTTGATTTTAAATTTTCCTCATTATCTTTGATGTTTCATGATTTCACTGTACAGTATTTAGTTGTGGGTTTCTTTTTATTTACTTTTACCCATTGGCTTCCTGCATGCATGGCTTGTTGTCTTTCAAGTCTTCTGGGAAATTGTTAGTTAATATTTTTTTTAAATAATACTTCTGTCCTAATCTGCCCTGTCTTTGGGCTTTGATTCCAGTATTCTATGACTTTCAAATCCATCAAAATGAAGCCACAATTTCACCAGGTTAAGCAAATATCCTCAATGAGAACCCATTTTAGTGCTCATCTTATTTTTGTGATTTCCCACTTTCCCAGGAATGGCTGGTGAATTTGAACCGCCAGCCTTGCAGTTCAAACCGATTTTGCAGTCTAGTGCTCATCCTATAGCAAATATTCTTAATTAATTTGAGTTTACTGATATTTTTTTAAATATCTGTGTAACACATCTAGTTTTTTGCATGTTTTTAGAACTGGAATAACATGTACTTGAGAACCTAGTCTGCCATACTAACACAGAACTCTATATTACTTTAAATTTCAACTCTGAATTTCCTTTGCATCTAAGAGCTATTTAGGAAAATATTTTTGAATTTCCAGATAGATTATTATTGTTATTATTATATTTTAGTTGTTGATTTCCAGTTATTTTGTATTATAATGATAGGATTTCTATGTTTGGGGAATTTATCGTAATTTTCTGGTAGAAAAATAGTTGGCTAATTTTTTTACCCAGTGCATGGATATTATAAAGACTGGATATGCTCCTTTGGTCATGAAAACAATCCTAGATGTGTCTATTAAATCAAGCTTGTTAATTGTGTTATTCAAGTCATCTCTATTTTTAATTATTTTTAGTGTTTCCTGATTTGACTAATTACTTGGTATGGTAGATATGCATGATGGTTTTAACTTCTTGGTAGAAAATAAAATACTTCTTTGTCTTATTTAATAGTCTTGCCTTTATTTCATGTTGCTGTTGCCATCCTTGCTCTCTGTGTGTTGACATTTGTTAGATCTTTGATAAATATTTGTTTTCAATCATTGTTATTTTATCTTTCCAAAATTAAAAAGTAAATCCACTCTTCTAGAATTTTCTATTAGAGTTAAATGAGATGATACCTGGTACCTCAGTAAGTACTCAGCCCATTTTGCTCTGCGTATGTGTATGTGAGTGTGGGGGGACTAATATAAGAGGTTTTGTGTTTTGTTTTGTTTTTTTTTGAGGTTTTGTGTTTTTTGCATTAAAACAATTTCCTGCTTTCAAGGTAAATGCCAAGTGAGAGTAGAAAGCATATGGTGTTTCTTGCAATCAAATGTGGTGTCTATAGGAAAAGGTAGTCTAGATACAATTTCAACCCCTCTAATTCACAGCATCTTTGTGTGTGGGTATTCTTGCAGATAGAGTCTTTTCTACAGCTTTCTGGAGTAAAAAAATGAAAACTTTAGGAAAAATAAACAAATATTAAGCAGACATGCACTCTGACTTGTGACCATGTTGGTCACTGATAAGGGGAAATGAAGGAAAAACAGCAATGAAGCAGGAAGCTAAGCCCTACCACGTTCAATAGACTCCTGTGAACCCAGGTAGAGACCTGGTTGGCCAGCAGTGTGGCAAGACCTGGGAACTCCTGGGCCCAGAGTCAGTGACATAGCCACAAAGGACTAGAGTGGAGAGTGAAGCATACAGCTGATAAGAAGTGAGGGGAGATGAACACAAACACCCACACTTGCAGATAAGAACACCCACACTTGCAGATAAGAACACCCACACTTGCAGATAATATCCACTTGACCTGGCATCAATGGCTGGATGATCAGAACTCAACTAGAAGAAGGAAGAATAGGAAAAAAAGAATAATCTGATACAATTTGATGAACTTGACCTACACCTATGGATGCAGTAGCTCAAAAGAGGGACAAATCTTTACAGTGAGGATCATTTCCACCCCCTCGATACACAAGTAGACAGGGATGGGTAACTTGGACATTCGCTACCCAAAATGAGGGGGCTACAAAGGCAAGAAATGACTAGCTTACAAGCTTTCAAGAGGGAGCCTAGATCCAGAGGGCACAGAGGAAGGTAGAATCTCCACTGAGTAGTATCCAATCTGTCTAGGTAGGGCTGATAAAAGGAGATGGGGATGGCACTCATGTGGCAGGATAGTGAATAATTACTATCAGGACTGATTGTGAGGGTTGGAAATGTAGAGGTAGACATTTTGTAGCAAAAGGAAGGAAGTAGTTGACTTTGCAGTCCAGGAGCAGAGGTCCCTGGGACCACCAAGGGAGAAGAGCGGAATGTGGGACCCTACCCAGAGAAGCAGTGACGCCAGAGATGGAGGCAGAGATGATGACGTGGAGAGATGGAGCAGCTTGGGACTCTAGACCCAGAGAGGGAGAGGGGCTGTGTGCTGACGACCAGAGGGCAGGCTTGCAGGGTATACCCTTTGGTTGGTTGATAGTGCATGGAGGGGATTGTAACCATGGCACTGAAACAATATACGATAGGATGAATGTAAAGTTAATGTTTTCCCATGTAAACTATCACATAATTCACAATAAAACATAAAAAAAAAAAGAAACGAATATTAGTTTCTGAAGAACATCACCCAGAAGGAATGTCACCTTTGCTTTGCAAGTTCAGTAACATTTGTCCCTTTCTTCAAGTCAGCCAACATTTATTACGTGCTCTGTGCTCAGGCACTAAAGATGACTGAGACAACTGTTCTTCTCAAAGGACTTCATGGTAAAGAGCTAAATGTGATGCTATCCTTCTTGAATAAAACCATTAAAGAAACTAGAATGTAAATGCCATGAGAACAGGGATTTTTATGTATCAAGGGTCTAAAATGGTGCCTGGCAACAGCAGCACTCAATAAATGCATGCCTTGACTACGCAACTCTTTTCCTAAGCCTTAGATCACATTCTAGTTCTGAGGCTGGAATCAACTCTGAAGTTTCTTGGATTCCACAATGCCTCCGTTTCCTCATCTTTACAGAGCACTACCCCACAGCAATATAGGTAAGGCTCAAGTGTCCCCCTCTGGATGGCAAATACTAGAGGTGTTGGTATCTAAATGAGATTTCAGGAAGTTCTCTTACTAACCAGGTGGTCCAAAGAGGAGACTTTGATCAAGCAATGCCATGCATTACCTGCTCCATGGAGAGTTTGAAGGTCTCAGCCAGCAGAAACCACCGGACGTTCTCAGAACAGGGAGGCGTGGTGAGAGAGCCCAAGTAGGTGTAGTAGTCGTGGAGGTTCCTGGGTAGCATGTCCCTAATGTCAAGGCCAGTCAGCGTGGTGCTTTGTCCTGACCAAGGAAACAGGAAGACAAGTGAATGTTGGAGGTCACTGCTGCTGTAAAGATGAAGCTCAGAGGTCACCACATATGAATATCCTGACTTAAATGAACAATGTAGAGACATATCATTGGGAAGCATTTCCCCAGTTTGCAGCTACCAATAATAAGGGTTGAAGAACAGGGACTTTGAGAATAGACCTGCTCAGTTTCATCCCCTTGCTGAGTAGTCTTGGTTTGGCTCATCTCCTTTAAGGTTTCCTAGTTTGTAAAATGGGGGAATAAAGAGGACTGTTGTGAGGGCACAGAGAAATAATATTCATTAAGTGACTGGCATAAAACGCAAGGAAACGTTCATAAACATAATTGTTATCATCATCATTGTTAGATAAAAGGTATACTTTATGTTAATAAAATAAATGGATTATGGTTCCTTGATTTAATCTGCTCGAATCTGCTTGTGGGTGGGTGTCAGAAATTCTCAATTTGAGGTGATTAGAAGTGGGTGATTAGAGTTCAGCAGAGTCATATCCAAGGCAGAGACCAGATGCCTGGTTCTGAGTTCCTCCTGCCATGTCCACTGGGGACCAAGTTTGGCTACCAGTGAGGTATAGGTAGTAGGGAGGAAACGTTCTGCAGGGTATCTAGAACCTCTGCAGCAACCACAGTCATCATTACATCTAGAAAGTAATTGTTTTGTTCATACCAATGGTGCCTAGCCCTGAACTCAGCAAAAGACTATCAAGGCAGCATGGGGTTGAGTTGGATTTTGCTTCACCTTCCTTGAGCGCTTTTGTGCTTTTTGATAGCAAAGAAGATACTGTTATTAGGTACCGGAGAGTTGGCTCTGATTCATAATACAGAGTTTCTGTGACTGTAAGTCTTTACTGGAGCAGAAAACCTCATCTTTCTCGCACGGAGCAGCTGGTGGGTTTGAACCAATGACCTTGTGGGCAGCAGTCCCATGCTTATCCTACAGTGCTACCAGTGTTCCCTTATGAAGGTGTAGTTTTTTATATGTGCACATATAGGTTTCTTTAACCAAGACTCTGAAGTCTGCATAGTATCATGAGTAAGCAAAAGATATAGGAGAGATTAGAAATAAGAGCAGGAGAAAAGACCTGGAGAATACGAGAAGAGCCAAGTCAGTGCTCATGTAGAAGGAGCAGGGATTGTTCATCCATTGTAACAGAGGAGGAAACATGGGATTTGTTCCCAAAGTGTGGAGGTTAGGAAAAAGATAAATGAGTTTCTGAGTTTGCTTTCCAATAGAGTAGGAGACAAGGCCATTCATTAGCAATGAGGTAGGAGCTGGGGCTAGGGGACAGGGCTTCAAGACAGATGGGAAATTGTGAATCATAATTTTAGAGAAGGAAAGCAAATGCCCAATGTTAATATGGTAGCATCTCCAGGCAGTACTAATATCTATTCATTCCCTTGTTTATAGGTTTCAATTGAGGCGGAGTCATGGCAACCCCATAAAATAACATCAGTCACATTTGTGCATTCTGTCTAGCAACATTCAGCTATTTGAACTCCAGGTTCTGAGTAGACAAGAGTTGATTTGGAGCTCTACCAAGTGAGTTTGTGAGTTGGAAAGGTAAGGCTCTTGAGGTATTTGTGTGGGGGTGGCTCTTACGATGGTCCCTGGATTCAAAGATAAATGAGGAGAGATGAAGGCCAGGAGGGAGTGACTCTTAGGGAGAACATGAAGACCCTCAAGTGGGAGAACCCAGGTCACAAGAATTCTTGGGAGTGGGAGTGGGAACAAGGAAGACTGAAATCAGAAAGCTGGGAAGCTATGAAGTGAAGACTGGTGATTACAAGGTCAGGGCTGTGTTAGGTATAGGTGGCAGCGCTGACAGGAAATCTGGCTTCTGGGGACAGAGGGAAGGAAGATGATCCTGAGTGTTTGTAGTCCCAGGTGGGATGATAAGGGGCTTCGTTTTTGAGATTCTTCTTGGTTTGAAGCTGAGGAGGACATCTTTCTTTAGTGACCAGGGTTGACTCTAAAATAAAGTAAACATTTCCATCTGTGGCCATAGGTAAGAATCACCTAACTGAGGAAACCGTTAGTTAGTGGAGTTCCTGGGTGGTGCAAGTGGTTAACAGGGTCAACTGTTAACTGAAAAGTTGAAGAGTTCCGTCTCCCCAGAGGTAGCTTGGACGTAAAGTTCCCGTGATCTACTTCTTAAAAAAACAACCATTTAAAAGACTATGGAGAGCACAATTCAACTCTAACAAGCATGGGGTCACCATGAATTCAGAAGTTTCGATTAGGTCGGCAGTTCAAACTCACCAGCTGCTCCTCGGAAACCCTATTCAGGGTCACTATGGGACGGAACCGACTCGATGGCACCTCAACAACAACAATAGTAGCAAGGAGAATATTAAGTGCCATGGGCTGCCAAAAGAACCAACAGATAGATCTGTGTTGGAAAAAGTGCAGCCATAGTGATCCTTGGAGGCCAAACTTCATCTCTCATACTTTGGACATATTGTCAGGAGGGACCAGTTGCTGGAGAAGGATATCATGTTTGGTAAGGTGGAGGGTCAGAGAAAAAAAGGAAGACCCCCAGCAAAATGGATTGGCAAAGTGGCAGCATCAATGGGCTCAAGCGTGGCAACAATTGTGAGGTTGGCCCAGGACCTGGCAGTGTTTCGTTCTGTTGTGCATAGGGTCGCTATGAGTCGGTACTGATTTGATGGCACCTAACAACAAGGAGCTCTGGTAGCGTAGTGGTTACGAATCGGGCTGTGAACTGTAAGGTCAGCAGTTCGAAACTACCAGAGGTTCCGCGGGAGAAAGATGAGGCGTTATGCTCCCGTAAAGATTTACAGCCTCGGAAACCCTGTGCAGGGTCGCTATGAGTCGGAACCGACTCCACGGCACATAACAACAACAACAAGAACAACACAGTAGCATAGTGGTTATGAATTGGGCTGCTAACCTCAAGATCGGCAATTTGAAACTACCAGCTGTTCCGCAGAAGAATGAGGCTTTCTGCTCCCATAAAGATTTATAGCCTCGGAAACCCTGTGCAGGGTCACTATGAGTTGGAACCGACTCCACAATACTTAACAACAGCATAGGTAGAGTTTATGAACGAGAGACCTTGTGCAGGAATAGATGTGCTCCCCTGACAGGGTTTATCTGCCATTTTTCTTCCCAGCTTCACCTTTCCCCTCCCCGTACCCCTTTTTTTCCATTCCTCCTGCTCGCCCTTCTTCCCTTCTTCAGCCAAGCTGGTTTCCCTTACCTGGATACATGATATTCTGCAAGTGGGAAATGAAGTCAGTATAATAAATGTTTTCAGCATTGTGGGCCTGTAGGAAAAAATACAAAGCAGTTAACGTAAGTGGAGACGAGACCTCTGGCTCTGTCCCTACAAATCCAGTTGTTTTGTTTCCTAACTGATTGGGTAGAATTGAAGGAGGAGGCAGTACATGTATGTCCCAGGAGACCACCTGATCATTTTTAGGGTGCATAAGACTCTTCAGAAGAGCCATTCCCTGAAAATTCCAGGATTTGGAGATTTTTGGTAACTGGTGGTATCATCAGATAATGACCAAAAGTCACTACTAAAAAAAAAAAAAATCCCCAATGACCTTGTTTGGGATGGTGTCAGTCATGGTCAGATTGGTTGTGATGAAGGAAGTTTGGTCTCACAAGCTCGCTTCCTCTTGGGACCTTTTGACAGGGAAGAGGACAGCCAGATTTCAAGGCAAAAGTGCCCCAGTTTCACCCACTGCCACATCATTCTTTAATTTTTACACTAATGTATAGTTTTAGAAAGACAGAAAAGCTGCGTTTGATGAAAAAGATCTATTTTCAATGGTTCTTTTCAGTCAGTGATACTGATTCAGCCTCTGGTTTCTTTCCCAGAGCGCATAAATTCAAGCTTTCTGTGTTTTCTATATGTCTCATGAGTCCTGGTGTGGCGCTGTAAGATAAGCAAAGTCAGTTTCAACTGCAATCAGTTCAAACTCATCAGCCTTACCTCTTCTCAGAAACCCTATCCAGGGTTGCTATGAGTCAGAGCTGACTCAATGGCACTTAATAATAACAATGTGACTCTTGTTCCTCTGTTCCAATTTTGCTGCCTTCCTTTTTTGTTAAACAAATTTTAGTTTACCATTTAACTATCTTCGATTGTTTTCTTGGTGGTTTCTCTAGTGATTAATACAGAACAACTTAATTTACGAT